CTTGAAATACGTGGTACAGTGGTGCGCGTCTTAGCAACGTAGAACGTCCGTGACGTAGCTCCGCCCCCGAGGATACTAGTTATTTTGTTCTTTCTATCACATCCGCTGTTAACGGCGATTGGAAACGTATTTCTATGGGCTTTGTGCGCGCTGCTGTGGAACGCCGGTGGAGCCGGTGAAAACTCGAGAAAACAACATAAACTCATTTTTGAAGTAATCCTGAACAACCAAATTCATATATGCTACACACGTAGGGCTAATCTTGTTACACTGTTCAGGTGACTCTCAACAACCATCGCAAAGTACCATTTTTTGCGAGTTTTTGGTCTTTGTTTTCACCGCGAGGGTTGCCAGGCGGTAGAAAATGCCCTGGTTGTCCGCCCCCGAGGATTGCCAAGCCTAGTCAAGAAGAATCAGAGTCACGTCCTACGCGAATTAATGACATCCTATATGATTCGCGCCCTCTAGCGACAAGGCCCTTAAGTTATTTTAAATAGCGACTACACAGCAAGACAGGAAGCTACGATATTGTTGTCACCCACTAACGTTATTTCACGTCACAGAATCGTTCGTCGCTTGAGGGCGCAACTTATTGCAATGGTATAGTTCTTTCAATTATTAATCGATACTTAAAAATCGGGCTGCGTAGAATTGTACCGTCATTCCTTCCTCTTGCAAACGTATGCATATAATGTTAGAAAACAAACAGTATGACAACCTCTCTGACGGGGTTTAAAGTGGAGTAGTCGTCACCTGCGCATGCATCAGATGCCCATAGCGTGTCATTGTTTACAAACAAGCGTCTACCCATGAGCCTTTGCGTTTTAGCGTGTGTTGTTATTATCGCTTGGGACTCAATTCCAGCGCGTGCGAAGGTGACGACCCCTCCGCTTTCATGTTTGCACTACGTGTAGTGTTTATCTCTGGTCGTGGTTAGATGGTCTGATGAGTGTACATACTGGCATTTCTACAGTCATGCACCACGTTACAAAGATACCATTGTATTTTTTGTTCAATCCTTTTCACAACGTAATGATTGAAATAATGATATCGTCCTGTTCTACTATGGTGACAGACCGAATTGCAATAGTATGAGTACTAAATATCAGGTAATTTAATAATTCCGAATAATGCTGACAGCCAGATAAATATGCAACAATACAATATAAACAAAAAACGGTTATTTAAAATCACATTTAAGTGGTAACAGCAGGTAATCGTGACTGGAATTTTCAACAGATTTCTATGCATTCAAGTGGCAGAAGAATTTGAAAACGTACTGTAATCTAGACATAAACATACGGAGCAAAACATGTTTTAGTATACAGTTGTTACCATGGTAAACAAATGATTTGAACATTTTTGTATCTCATAATCATCATCTCAAATCCTGAAAAATAATGTTAAGAAATAGACATACTTCAAATCATCTTCGAGAGTCTCGAATGTCTATGAAAGGGGAGAATGACTAAGGTTCTTACTAAAGATCTGGATGGCTGCGAATTGCATAGTGACTGATGGAATGTGATTTCCCCCAAGACAATATGATTGTTGATAATATAAATTCGAAAAAATTGACAGAAATTGTCATATAGTTCAAGATTTTCTACGGTTGCCAGTAATTTGAAACTGTTAGATGATAAGCTTTCGCATATATTGATAATATTCGCTGAGAAGGGAAGATCGAAAAAAAAACTTAAAAGGAAGACCATGGCTGAGTAAGAACAATGACTTTTTTATTAAAACCACGTAGAAACATTGTTCATCTTTGCAGGCCTATAGATCTTATTCGCAGACAACCTTCGGGGGGCCGCGTTGAAAGCGTGAAAGCTACGCGACTTGTTTTTTGTTCCATTCTCTACAGTGACTACTATCGCCCACTGTTTCCAAATACCATGGTTTCTATGGGGGAATATGATGACTCTCTCTCGCGCGCTTTAATGTTCAAAATTGTCTTTGGCAGAATGAGTTTGTAGGTAAATACAATAACTCTATTATAAAGGTGATCTCAGATGACATCATTATAACTAGTCTGATGACATCATTTTTCATGCAGAAACCGTTTGAGTATGACTCAGAATAATTCGTATGGCTGGTGTCCCACGTGGAGCAGGATGTGTTCTCTCCTTTCGAAATATCTGACGTCACTTCACGCATACTATGGAATCCTATACGACTTTTTTATTTCTGCATCCAA